TTGTCAGACATGAGAATCAGCTGAGTCTCTTTCTAAACCTAGAACTGGCCAAAACTGGAGAAACAACTACAAACTTGAATATTTTAACATTTCTGCTGCTCCACTGTAGAACCACAGACTTCTTCGTCTGCACAGGCTCTTTGTCTCCCCCTCCTCCTCCCTCCATTTACCCCCTCTATAATTCACCCCCAACTGTTAGGAATGGTGCATTAACTCGAGCTGCTCTTTGAATGGGGCCCTTTAGCTCTCTCTCTCCCTCTCTCACACAAACTCCCATATATATACTGGCTCTACTCAGCCTACACAGTGTATGGAGTCAGACAGAGGGTAATTATACCAGACTGAACCAAATTACAACGAAGAATGTCTGGGACGGGACGGGGGGGTCAGTTTGGTTGTAAAGTAGAAAGGAAGGAAGGAGAGAGAGCTACACTAATAGAGATAGAGATAGTGATAGAGTGTTATAGAGAGATGTACAAAAACACAGATGAACAGTTAGAAACAGAGATTTATAGATACAAAAACACCAACATCAGATACATTAAATCAAAATGTATTTCTATAGCAACATCCAATTGACCACAGTGCTTCACAAACTCTCAAAATAATAAATCAAGAAAATACACAGTATAAAGTAATAAAGTGAAAATATCCAAAAGCAAGAGCATCAAACTCCACTAGATACAAAAGCCCTCAAAAACAGGTTTTAAGCAAAGAGTTAAACGCTGGAAGATCAGGTGCTGATCTGACAATGGCAGGCTGTTCCAAAGTTTGGGAGTTCCAACTGTGAATGCTCGATCTCCTCAGCTCTTAAACCTAAACCACTAAGAGAAGCTGGTGTGACCATCTAAGGGATCTTGGAGGCCTGTGCCACTGTAATAATTCACCTAAATAAAGTAGAGCCAGACCATTTAATGCCTTATAAACAAAAATCTACAAAGCCAGTGTAACAAGGCCAGGACAGGGGTAACATGGTCAGATTTTCCTGTGCTTGTCAAAAGATGAGCAGCAGCAACGAGAAAGAAATGCCTGGGTGACCCCCAAGACAACGCATTACAATAGTCATGGGGCGATAAACTGAGATGACTCTAGAGATGACAGGTATTATAGGCAGAGGCTGGAGATGGGGGCAGAGACAAAAACGAACAGAGAAGATGGAATAAATGTCTGTGCATCCTGTAAACACTGCAAGAGCACATACACAGTAAGATGGACCGATTCTTTTCCCTCTGTCTGTATTTGCTGGTGAAACCACAGCACTGCTCTGTTCTCCTCGCAGCTGCTCAGCAGTTTGAATGCCAGGTGTGGCGCCTTCATTACAGCCTTTCAGGTCAATTAAACACAACCTTGAGGCCGTTTCCATTACAAACACTTAGAGAGGAAGGGGCGAGTTGGTCACAACTCTCACACACAGGAACTTTAATGAGCTGCTCTACTGAGGTTTATTTACAAAATCCATCTGACATTATCTACAGACCTCTAAATTTCTCACTGTCCACACAAAATGCAACAGTAGAAAGAGTCACTTCTGACTATAACTGAGTGTTAAAAACCTTTTCCTGTACAGTGCAGCAAGAATATTTTGTCTAGTTTGAAATGAAACAGCGAGTGTTGGCAATTGATTGTTTGAGCAAAATTAGAGAAAATTAGTGAAACATTTTCTAGTTACTTTCAGCATTGATTAATGTGTGACTGTGTTTTTAAATTAATGTCATCATCTGTCAAAATGTAGACTTCCAAATGACTTGTTTTGTTCAACTAAAACTCCAAAAACAAATGCAGTTTACAGTGAATTATTACATTCACTCATTTCAGAAACTGGAAGCATGAGTTCCAGCCTCAACCTGCCAGCAAACTAGTGTGTTCAAGTAGAATTTGAAGTTTAAATATATATGCATTTCCCTTTTACAGATCTCTTACAACCTTTTTCTTCAGAACATGAAGGAAATGAACTCTGCTCACGTGGAGCAGCTCCTGTTATATACTTTGTACTAGCCAACCACCCCGACCCTCCTCCCTCTTCTAACGAGGACTTTGTGGCTCTATATACTACATTGCCTTACTTCCTTCTTTGCCTGTGTCACTAGAGGTTGCCAAACTATAATACGTAAGCTGCTGCATGAACAACATACAGACTTGTATTTTACAGGAGGATAGTCCCTCTGTGGTCAGCCTGATTTGCTTTTTCACCAGACTATGATCCAGCTTTTCAGGCATCATCAGTTCACACCAGCCTAAATAAACTCAACTAAGATGTGAAACCGCACATGATTTAAGAACTTGATTAGCAGAAAGATCACAATGATAAGCGTTACGTGACATCGACAGAGAAGGAAAACTGTGAACCGAAATGCTCCTTAAACCTGACCCCGACACTATAAACCCTGCAGGGATCAGTGAAAAGCATCACTGCTGGCATTCTGTGATAAGAAACCAGTTCTTCTTCATCAGAGCCTCTGAATCGTGTTTTCTTCCAAACAAAACACAGCTCAGACAAATGTCGGTGCTGTTGAGATGAAGCCGGCTACCTGAAGGAATCCAGCCTGGTCCCATCAGGCCTCGCTGGCACTGGGCAGACTGAAAATGAAGTCAAGACGCTATTTCTGCAGATGTGTGGGGACCAGGCCTGTCTGTCAGATTGTCAGGGTGCAGAGTGAGAGGAATGGACCCAGAATGCTGACTCACTCAGGTCCCAGGCCCCTGGGAGCCCCGGGAGGCCGAGCGCTCAGCCAGGAACAGATAATGATGCGTGGCCCTGACCCCTCTGCTCCAAAATCCCAGGTCACCCTGGTGAGATTCCTGCTAGAGTCTGTGTGTGTGTGTGTGTATGTGACATGAGAAGAATTTTAATGCAACCCAGAGATCAGCTGGCTCACCTCTCCCTCCCCGCTCTCCATCTTTTTCTTCTTCTTGTCTTCTCTCATCTAGCAGCTCTGTAGACAACATGCACCAGGTTGCAATTAACAGGATCTGAAAACTGCACCGAGGGCGGACATGATGTGAGAAAATGCAGAGAGAGGCAAAGTTAGGCGCTGCCCTCATGGAGCTTTTTCAAAATAAAAACTTAAGAAAAATGTTAACAAGAAACATGACTCCATAAACTCGGCTGAAGACCCCAAAAGGCTCCATTTATGTGGCGGTAAAATAAAGACAAGACATCCGCTGTGGTTTTGTGCTATTACAACAACTAATTAGTTCTGATGTTTCGGGTAAACTTCCCAGTTCTGAGAAGAATCCGTGAAAGCAAAACAGGCTTCAGTGAAAAATAACAAAGGTCATTAAAGGGATACACGAAGAAAGCTTGGAAAAACAGATGGCTGTTAAGCAGAGATGCATATTTAACACAGAACCTGGCCTCCACATTCAGGTGGGGTTGACCTATTTGTCCACAAGCAGCAGCCAAATACAAAATACATACACAGGACTAATGTAAACAAATGCAGGAGCTCTGATTCTAAAAACAACATGTGAAGTACAACTGCCAGAAGGTTTTTCAAGAAATACTCAGTACAACATGCACCAAAGGTTTAGCAGTCATCAGGTCAGAATTTAAATTTCTCCAGTTCTTTGGTTTATACCTACAAATTAATGAAAACTAATTCCCATCGGCCTCAGTTGTACTTTGTGTTTCAGTTCAATGTTAGCAAGCTAAGATGGTGAACATAATAAAAGTTATTCCTGATAAATATATGCATGTTAGCTGCACTGACTCTGGTGCAAAGTACATATTTTTGGGTATTTGTACTTCCATGTCCTGCTACTTCATACCGTGACTTCACTCCATGTCAGAGACAAACCGTATAATTTTTACTGCACTACATGTATCTGATAACTTCAGTTCCTTCCCAGAAGGAAGCTAACATCAGCTCCACCTTTACCAGCTGCAGCATTAAAGTGATGAACAGAGTAATGGATCACTATGATCCAGTATCAGAGACATTAATGTGACATGGGCTGTTCTGCAGGATGAATACTGGTACTTTGGATACTTCAAATATATTTTGATGCTGATACTTTTGTACTTTAAGTAACATTTTGAATACAAGACTTAAATGTAACACAGCGTTTTTATGTAAAGATCTGAGTACTTCCTCCAGCATTAACGAACAGCCTGTGTCAGTCTAACAAAAAGACACTAAAGGCTTCATGTGCATTATGGGAAGTGTAGGACTCAATATATAGTATTTGGATCTTGCCTCACACTCGGGTCTAAAAGTCAGGATATCTTGGGCCTTGCTGATTTGTACTTACAATTTTTTGCCTGAGTTTTGATATTTCCCTCTACATTAGGACAGTACTACTCACTGAAGCACTACTTTAAGTTCCTTGTGAATTTGCTGCTGTGTCCCAGAATTTTCTCACCTTGGTAACTCAGATGAACAGAGGTCAGGAACGATGCATCTGACTCTTCAACCAAGAGAGACAGAAGAAAACCAGACGTTCACTTTAGAGAATAATTCGGTCCTGAAAACAACCATAAAACCTGAAGCAGACAAGACTCAGAAGTGCAGGTTTATGCCTGTCATGTTTACAGCAGACACAGAGCAGGTGTGTTCAGCCGGGCTGTGCCGTCTGCACCTCCAGAGCAGACTCTGGCTGTTCGTAAGGGAAGAGAGAAGAGCGTGAGCAGCAGAAAGCTTCTCCCAGTGCTGTCAGTCCCGGTTTGAGCCAGGGCTGCAGCCTCCCTTCACATAGTCCATCATGGCGTCTAGTTCAAAGACCGTCTAGCTGCAGGTCTTTGTGAAAGCCTGGCTGGATACCTTTTATGTTCAAGATGTAGGATTTCTTAAGAGGACTTTGATTATTTATTTATTCCACTTCTCTTGTGTGATAGTGCCAATATTTTACACGAAAGTGCTCAGCTTGCTCTGAAATTCATGTTGCTTTATTGTAGCCTTTGAAATCTTTTTCTGAAAGGCAAGCTCTTTTTTTGAAGTCTCCTCTGACTCCCTTCCTTGCTCATCTAACTCTCACTTCTTCTGTGCTTTCTGTTCGTGCAGCCCCCCACATCTTCCCCACCTTCCACACACCAATCCCGATTGACATGCGCCATCACGAGGGACGATACCACTATGAGCCCCACGCGCTGCACGCCATGCACGGGTAAGCAGCATCTCTTCTGTTGGCTAAATACTGACCAGCACATCATAGGCTGGAAGAATGATTACTACAGGAAGATGCAGGATGAACCAAGCTAAATTCCTCAGATCTTTGTGATGCAGATCATCATTTTATACTCAGTTATGACTGTATAGCACAGGGGTTGTTTTTCTTTCTTAACTCTGAGGATTTGCTTGCGAGTGTATGTTAGCAGGCGCTGATGAGAGCTGAGCGTTCGCCAAGTTCAATATGAAAAGCAGATGGCAACATGCTGAATTCCAAAGTGAATAATCAATGCTAGTTCTACATTTCCCCTCTGCAGGCTTTGTTTCCAATACAGGCTGGTTATGTGGGCAAGCTTTGCTCTTTTGGATCCGACTGTGTGATACTGGGAGAAGTCAGCTTACAGCCTGAAGTTAGATTACTGAGCCCAAATCTCAGTGAGAAAAGTCAAACGTCTTCTCTTCAATAGCTGAGGTGCCATTGAGCAAGGCATTTTACCAGCTGGAACGTGAGGGACTATTACTTAAGCATTTAAATCTATGCAGTTGCATTAAAAGCATTAAGTTACTCCAACTTTTTCTACAAGTTATCCAGTAAATATAATTGACCAAAGTCATTTCTTTCCATTTCTCCAGGTCCACAGTTTGTTAAATCTATATTATCCTCGATCTTTTGATTTTTGCCTTAATTAGATATTTTAAAAACAGCTCTGCAGCTCACAGTCCTACAATATTTGCATTTATCTTAGGTTATCCTCCTAACAGAGTAGAGTAATGTAGATCTTCTGTGTGACCAGTGTGAAACAGTATTTGAGTCAATGTACACAGCTGCTTTCCATTTATGTTCCTGGACTATATCTGTGCCAGGCTTGTACCAATCTGCAGCTCGCTTCATAAGCAGTGATCGGCAAGGCCAGATCCATCACCGATGACATCACACAGCGCACCTCCGCCCAGCACCTCTTTATATTCATTAATGGCTTGTTGTGGAGCTAATCTGTGTGGTGCAGGTTGTGTTGCCCCAAGCTAACGTGGTAATTAAACTCCCAGAGCAGAGAGGTCACAGCACAGGCTGCGTGTGCTGCTGCAGCACTGGTGGCGAGTCCGACTTCCAGGCTACTGTGGGGCTCAATAAGAGATGCAGTCCCATTTATTTTCTTGAGGGAAGTTCAGTTTGAGAAGAAAATGAGTGTGTTATACATAACACCATAAACAAATCAACTTTGCAGATTTGTTATTTGTCAAAACAGTGTTTTTGGCTCCAGTTGTACCTGAATGTGTTTTGGAGTCTGTGTGTTTTAGGACAGTGAAAAATCTGAAAATATACCTTTTATTAAAAAGTTGATTCTTGAACTTGGAAACAGCAGCTGAGTAAAACATTTAACTACATGCGCAAACATTTTTTTGCTTTTCTGGAGCTTTTGATTGTGTCCCATGGTTTTCACCATAAGCAGGAGTTGTTTCCAAGATGAGGAATCAACCTGGACCCTCAGTTTATAGACAATAAGTTGTTGAAGTGCTATGAAAAATCCTACAAGCTCCACCTTCTGATGAGCACTGTGTAATATAATCGAAAGCTCCAGATCAGCTACTAAATGGACCTTGTTTTTGCCAATATCTTGTTTTATTTTATTGTCAGTAAACTCTCCTTGTGTTTTGGGATAATGTAGCTGAAAGTATTGGCTTGTTTGGAAAGTTCATTATGGTGCATCCAAGCTCAAAACTTCAAGATGCAACTTGAATTTAATTTTTCAGTTATGTTTGAGAAAACATACAGCAGATAGTGATTGTGACTCTTGTACATCTTCGCTATAACTGGTTGTTTTGAACAATATCCAAAGGATAAAAGAGTGAACAACAAGAAAAATGTAATTTATCTGAATACAAACTGCAATTCTTCTTTAAGTATAAAGACGGTTCTGCACACGTGAGTGCTGCTGAGGTTGTGGCACTGTGAAGCAGAGCAAGAGGACCCTGCAGGAGTTTAAAGTTACTTTATCACAAAAGAAAAACTGGCACCAGGACAAAGAAAGTCAATAGAATCCTCCAAATAGTACTCTTACATTTAAATTCTGACAGTGGACCCCTAATTCATCAAGACCTTGATCTAGCTGTCGCTCCCCCCTGCTTGTGCCAAATTCACCTAATTACAGGAACATTGCGCAGCAAATTAAGTGCGGTGTCATTTGTCGCCTGGTGCAGCACTTTATTATACACTCGTGGCAGCGTGTCAGAGGTCCCCTCCTTGATTGTTTAACATGACATCTCTGCGCCATCCTCTTTATCATTGTTTGCATATACCATAATGAGAGGGCTGGTTATTTTGTCAAGCCTGTCATAAAAAGCAGCCGAGGGGAAGCCTCTTTTTTCTTCCTTCTTCTGCCCGATACCAAGGACAGTTTTTCTTCCCTTGCCGTCGCTGGCAAATGACAGTGAGATGAGGGAGTTACAGGAGGAAGAATACAGTTGGGGGGGGGGTTTCTGCTCTGTTACGGTGTCTCTGTGGACGGAGTGAGGCTGAGGCGAGATCTGTCACTGGCCTGGAGTTTACAGAGTTCTGCTCTAAGAAAGCAACTTTTCTGAAAGGACATTTCTAGGACCTGTACATGACAGACATCCCTTTATTTATACCCGAGTCCTATTCATTTAGTTTACTGTAATCATAGCATGCCAGCAGCCCAAGAGCACATCACCAGACACGTCCTAGTTTAGAGGAGCCCACATGCCCAGAAGCATCACCCGTTCTCACCATGACATTTTATGAAGTGTTTTGCGCTGTAATTCCTATCACGGTTGGCTGCTGACCCCAGACAGCAGCAGGACTGAATGAACACAAAGAACATGTTCACCTCCACACCGCAGCACCAACTGATCATCTGAATGCACACGCAGCAGCCTGCCGCTTATGAAAAGTAAATTTGCTGGACAACTGTACTAAACTTGTCAAGGAATATCTGAATGAGAACTAACAGTGAAACAGGGTTTGAGAGGTGGTGTCTGTGAGGCTCAGCCGAGGAAACCGCAGGCACAAATTAGACTGTGAGGCTTGGACAGGCAAGTAGATGCAGAAAGTCTGCATATGTGAAGTTTTCTTAAAGACAGGAATGACTGTTTCCCATCCAGGCTCATGGACTGAAGCAGTTGAACCTCTGGGACTACATCAGCTCACAGAGATGACACACACTTTGTGCTGTACATGCATATGTAGAAGTGAGCAGGCTGCTGAAGCTGTTCTGGCTTGCATTATGATTCAGGCCTAAGTCATCTCTCTACAGAAATGCTGACTGGCCCATCCAAATTCCTAGTTTGCCATCTGCCATGAATTGTTTTGGAAAAAACCCAGAATTCCTGTTTTGAGCTCTGTGTTTATGAATGAACTTATTAAATGTTTCCCAGAGACGGTGTCAACTGGTTCTTTTTCTTTTGAGCCAGTAGATTTTGGTTTGTAATGAATGAAACTGAACCAGAAACAGGAAACTGAAGTGATTCTCCAGCTCCACTATCAGCTTGTCAAATTCCTTCATACTATTTTGGCTTCACAACAGCAAAGCATCGCTGCTTCAGGACTGCACCAGCGTGCAGGGTTTTTATTACAGTCCTGGTGCCAAAACACCTTCACACCAGTGAGTTCTTACATGACAAATCTTTGTCCAGTTCCGAGGACAGAACTGGAGGATGAAATGACTTTTTAAGAAGGCCATGATTTGCAACTCTGTGATCTGTTTATTTGTATCTAGGTCATTTCTTCCTCTGCGTGTGGAGGAATGTGTTCGGGGGTGGGGAGGATGGAGATTGTTGCCCGTTAAGTTTGAGGCGTCCGCTTCTCGCAGCAGACTCATAAACCTACAGTGGGAGTTTATTCGGCTACAAACTGGACGACGTGATTTATCTAAATCAGAGAGCTCCCCGAGCCCGACACTGGAGACGGGACTCACTGTCACACTGTAATTCATCTCTGGTGTCACTGAGAACAGACTCGGCACGCGCTCACACACACGTATGCACACATACAAATGATAAAACTCAGACAACAGTACAAACCTCAGGAAACACTTTAAATGCATGCCCCAGAATATGCACACATACAGTGGTTTCATGTCTAGATTTCAACGGACAGATAATCAGTGTAGATTTACTATGAGTTGTACTGATGGATTTATCATTTTAGGTTATTTATGGAGGTTTTGCAGCTTTTCTCTAATGTAAATCATTACAAACTGTGTTTTTTCATTCCTGTTCAGATAAAATAAGCAGATGGAAGACGGGCTGTGGGAAATAAAGGCTCAATTAATTAATAATATACATATCACAGCAGGAGGAGCACAGTGACTGGTCTTAATGGTCCAGTAAACACAATGGTTTCAGCTTCCAGTCACTACACAGAGCACAACGGCGTCTGAAATAACACGTTTTTTTTAGGATGATCTTATTAACGGTTAAGGTCCGAACAAGCTGATGAAAGCAGCTACAATGTTAATTTCATGTTCTGGGCTCGATGTCAAGGAACAATCACACAAATCTTTAACAGCTGAATTCACTGTTCTGATCCACTGTCCTTTCAGCTTCACTTCATTGTCCCTCAGGGGGGACATTTGTTTCGCAGCCAGGTAGAAAACACTTATATTCACATAAGAAAAAAACTCATAATACATATCCACTCAAATGATAAAACCCCCAGGCAGACTCGTAAGAAAATACTGAATGACAGCATAGTACATATACAGTATATAAAAGAGCATGTACAGACACTCCAATCAATCATCCAGTTGCCTAGTAACCATAACAGCATTAGTACACAGCTGACCGACAGCTAGTCATCATCCCCAGGACTTAGCAGAGCGACAGCACAAGAAATAAAAGGTTTTTTTTGGGAGATGTGTGGTAGATCCTGCAGTTGAGTGGGCCAATGATCTGACTGGCCACTTTCACTGTGTGGTGCAGTTTGTCCCTGTCCCCACAGAGAGACTCCCACACCAGGCTATGACGGAGAAGGTTAAAGGT